TATGCCACCAGACTCGAAATTCTAGACCTAGAAAACTAGAACTACGCTGCCTTCGGTCTGATCTAAGTATAGTATATAAAATCATACATTGCAATGTCCTACCAGTCAATGAATACTTCAGCTTCAACCATAACAATACAAGAGCAAACAACAGATACAAACTCAAGGTTTATTGCACCAAACTTGATTGCAGGAAATACGATTTCAGCAATAGAGTGGTCAATGTCTGGAATACTCTACCTGACTCTGTGGTTTCTTCCCCAAAACCCAAAAGCTTTAACCTTAGACTGTCTACTATTGACCTCACCCCTTTCCTAAGAGGTCTGTAGGGGGCGTGCATAAGCGCACCAACGTGCCTTCCGTCCTTGTCCTATTGTTTTTAATTTTTTTTATTATTCTTATATGTATCCATGTATTCAGAACTATGTTTTTACTTATACCTATTATCTTGTAAGCAATTGACAAATAAATAAATAAAAAGATACCATAACACATTGCACCAGTGAATCTATCACAACTTGCTTTTAATTAAGCACATAGTTAACTCTGATTAATTTAAATTAAACTTGGATTCAAATGTTCAAAAAACTGCTGCCAACTTTATTCATGCTTCCATATATGCTTTGGATTCAGGATACTAAATAGTCTTTCACAAAGAGTTTAGGGAAGATAAAACTCAGTTTTAATGTACAAAACTTGAACAATCTCCCAGAGGGAAGCAATTCAGAGATGTATTAGAGCAGATTACTTCTTATTCTCCAATGATGGTACTCTTTTTGTAGCTCAATCTCTAACATTGCTGGTCCAAGCAATTTGTTGCCTAAAGCAAAGGACAAGGTAAAAACAACCTACACTCATTTCTTTACATGCAGAGCTGTCAGGACAGCTGGCTAAGTTCAACACTAGAGATGGATGAGCTCCCTCTACTAGAAGGCAGTAGAGTAATTTAGAAATAGACTAGACTTCGTGGGATACACTATTTTTGTCTTTCAACATACTCTAGTTCCTAGTTTCTCATTTTGCCTAGTAGTACAGCCAACCCTCATCTCAACAATTTGGCTTGGCGGGGAGGCGCTCGCTGCCTTGGCGAGAGCTCCACCACTGGGCAGGAGGGCCCACCTGTCAGCTGCGCTGGGCGCCCCAGGTGAAGCTCTTCACGCTCTGCCCAAAGCCAGGCAGGGATGGTGGCTAGGCAGTTCTTCCAGGGTGGGCCGATCCTGTGCTGTGGCCCCGGGAGATTCGCCTCCCCACATGGGGTTGGGCTGCCCTCTCGGGCAGGGGAGGCTTTGTCGTACCGGTAGTAGGGCATCATTTTTAAAAGAATTGGCTTTGCCTTCGAAGGCGAAGGGAAGGAGGCGACAGGAGCGCCTGAAGCCAAATGACTCCACTGGGCTCCGGTTGCAGGGAGGATGCCACGGCATTGCTGTAAATGCCACGGCAGCATGGGGAGAAGGGAAAGCAACGGTGGCGGAAGGTCTCCTGATACGAAGTGCCCCACCAATGCCGAGGTCAACATCCAAGCCATCGCCGCGCGCCCAAGGATGCAAGGGGGGGAATTAAGTCACCCTTGAAAAGACGGCCTAGCCAATTTTTCGGGGGTCAAAAAAAATAAGGCCTGGCCTTATTTTGTGAGATGCACGGTATGTTGTTTTAAGATAATGGACTTCATTAAAAAAAATACTATGAAACTGTTGTATTGGTGGTTGTAGTTGTTGTAGTGTTTCCTAATTAGTTAGGAAACTAATTTTCCTTAGTTGTGTTCTGGCTAATTTTACTTTGGTGGGGTTCCCCCCTTTAATTTATATGTTGGTCCATGCTAGTAGTAAATACAATTGAAGGCTAGATTATAAACACATTTATTCGGTTAAATAATAAACCTCATTTTTTAAATCTTATTTTATTTTTGCTCTTGGCTAATCTCAGCCCTTCACATCCCACAAAGTTTGTTGAAGCCTCTGACCATCTGCATGCTGGACAAGATGTCCTTTCATACCATAGGCATGAGTAAACAAAGAAGAGAGCTAGCTAACTCAAGACTGGACTTCATACCAAAAGGAGTGGCAAATAGAACAGAAACACGCCTTAACCCACAGGTCACTTTTGTTGGAAATAGAATAAGTAATGTTGCTGACGTCATCCCTCTACCAGCTGAGATCTTTAAAAAGGAAACAACTCGCCAATGAGCTAGAAAGGTGATTCTTATGCTTGTATTCTTCAAGTTCTTCTCTTGGGTTGTGCAAATATGGTCCAATTAGATTATATTTCTCTTTCCATTCACAGATTATCACAGCCCATGGTTCTCAAATTAAAAAGGACACAGCTGTTTCTTCTCTAGAACATCAAAGGTCAGTAATGCTCTTCTCAAATGTGATGCCTTCTAAACGTATTGACCTAGAACTGTGATCATCCTCTGCCAGCAGGAGAAAGACTGATCTATAGAATCACAATGAATTTATTACCAATCCCTGTCAGTTGCAGTCTAGCAATTGACACAGTAGGAATTGAGATTTGCAGCTGTCACCTGCAAATACCTCTCTACTGTACCCTACGTTTTACTTTTGATATTTTAAAAATATTTAAATAGAATTTAAAAAGAAAGTCAGTGTGTATGTGTGTGTGTGTGTGTATGTGTGTGTGTGTGTGTGTGTTTTCTTAAGTTTTCGCGGGTACTTACATGTATGGTATTCAGCTTTGTTCGGGTATTTTCCCATGTCATTATAGTTGTGCTTTTAAAGTTGTAGCAACATTTCGGCAGAATCTCATCTGCCATCATCAGGCTTCTGTATTGTGTTCGTCTGTGAGTCAGACTTTTACAGTTGTTTCGGTTTTAAATTTGGGGCTAGCCTACTGCTGTGCCAGAATGTTTTTTTCTTCATCCTGATTGGTTGGGAGTCTTGGTCTGTGTTTATTGGTCTTGGAGTTTGCTGTGTTCTGCTTGATTGGTGTTTCTAATATCTTCTGTCTGTTTTGTGGCTTTGTGTCTTGATTGGCTGGCAACATTGTGTTCCTGTATTGGAGGCTTTTAGTGCAGCTTGGCTCTGAGTAAATGGACGGCTATCATTTGTTAAGAAGCTAGGTTTCATCTGGGTGCCTGGCTGGGGTGTGTTTGAGCTGGAGGTATCAGGGGGGATCTGTTTGTGCCCTGGTGTTTGCCTGGCTAGTGGTGTGGAGATTTTTTTGTTTGTGAGTGGAGGCTTCCAAATAATTGACAGTCTGGTGGATATATGGATCTTTGGTTATTCAGGTTTTCTCACACGTAAAATTAGAAGTACTTGAAATTGAAGATACTTTCAATTTTACGTGGGAGAAAACCCAAATAACCAAAGATCCATTTGGTACAGTAGTTAAGGCACCAGGCTAGAAAGCAGAAGACTGAGTTCGAGTCCTGATTTAGACGCAAGACCAGCTGGTGACCTTGAACCAGTCGTTCTCTCTCAGCCCTAGAAAGGAGGTAGTGGCAAACCACTTCCGAAAAACTTTGCCAAGAAAATTGCAGGGATTAGTCCAGGCAATCTCCTGGAGTCAATACTGACCAGAAGGCATATAGCACACTCAAAAAACCCCTGACTGTAGTCCAACTTTTGTCAACTTCCTCTCAAAAAAGACCAACCTCACACCCTATTATGAATGCTTAAATATGGATGACAATTTATCAAAGTTATTACTGACAGAAGAAAAAATATGGGGGGGAGGGATTCCACCAGGTCATTATTAAGGAGAGTTAGAAGAGAGGAAGAATGACAATTTTGAGTTTATTTTGAACTTAAGGATATAAAGAACATGCTTAATCATGAAGGTGCAAGTCAAAACTTCGGCACTGTGGCTGTTAAGAGTTGCTAACCCATTTTATAGGGATCATAAAGACTTTCCCCTCAACAGCCTGCTCTTGGAAGGGCAACCAGTGACTTACACAACAACTGGAAGGGGGACAGGAGAGGAAATGGGAATTCATCATCAGAGGTAAAGGAAGAAATTTATTTTGAAGCCTGTGCCTTCTTTCCAAGACATTTGATACCAGATTTGAATCATTCAGCCCACAAGAGACCTACTTGTCCCTGGATGTTCACTCACCATGTTGGACCATCATATCCATTCATCTTAACGTTCAACAAGAAAGAAATGAGCATATACAAGTGCACAGCTCTTTATTCTAATCACAGATGCTTGAACTATGGGCTGAGCTCAGACTTGGCAGAAACAACCAGAGCCAAAGCCAGCCAGGCCAAATGAACTGCTGGCCCCAAATCAGGAGACAATCGATCTGTCACAGCCAGCCACTTAGAGGAGAAAATGCAGAAACAAACAGCTCTTTTCTTCCCAAAAAGACAAGTATTAGTTTTCTATGACAAAACAACCTAAAAGATTGTACCAACTTTTAATCTGTAAGTTTTGGCTTTGGGGAAGAAAAACAAACAGAGATAGTTTTCCAACACAGTGAGCTCTTGTGTGCAGCCAGAGTGGAATGGCCTGGCTTGCAAACCAAGTCCAGCACCAACATCTTCTGAAACTGCTAGAAGAACTTCAAAAATATCTTCAAGGGTGACTTGATCTTTAAAAACTATAACAACTATTCCCCTCAATGTGGCACACCCTCCAAATGCTTTGGGATAGCAGCTCTCGGAATACCTCAGCCGGCATGGAGACTGTAAAGTTGAGGAAGACTCCATTGTCCTTGCTCTTTGTCACGTCACATGTACAGGAAAAGGACATCAAAGCAACCGATTCAGTACTTGTTTTTTTCTGTGTCAGAAAAATATGCTAGATTTTTTCCCACCAAATAATTTTGCTGGAGCAAAACTGATCTGTATTTTGCCATTCCATATTTAGAATTTTCTACAATATATGAACTAAAATAAACCAAGACAGAAAGAGTAGTTCTTTTTTCAAACTGCCCCGAATTCGGGTTTCTTTTCTAATTTAACTTGTCCTTGTCTGACTAAACATTTTCCCCTTCACATTCTGGGTTCCAGATGTAATCCATTTATATAAGAGGAACTCACCACTTTCAGCAGGCTCCGTTGTTCCCTGAAAGTTGCACAGCAACCCAGTATGCCAGTAATCATGACAACAGCACCTGCCACCACCAGGATGTAGGCTGTTGCCAGGTATATATTGGACTGCAAGAGACTAATGTAGTCACTCTTCTCAGCCAGGGTCCAGATGCCCACTGCCATCACAGCTCCACCTGCCAGCTAAAGAGGGAGAGAGAAACACGTACAGGATGAATGAGAGGTGTCTGCAGTCAAATGTAACTAGAGCCCACTGTAACTACATAGCCAAAAAAGCATTAAGAGTTGTTAACCTAATCCTACGTAGCTTTTTCTCTAGTAATATCACACTACTAACTAGAACATACAAAACATTTGCTAGACCAATACTTGAATACAGCTCATTAGTCTGGAACCCACATTACGTATCTGATATTAACACAGTTGAGAAAGTCCAGAAATATTTCATGAGAAGAGTTCTCCACTCCTCTACTCGTTGCAGAATACCTTATGCGACCAGACTTGAAATTCTAGACCTAGAAAACCTAGAACTACACCGCCTTCGGTCCGATCTAAGTATAATACCGTATATAAAATTATATATTGCAATGTCCTACCTATCAATGAATACTTCAGCTTCAACCATAACAATACAAGAGCACACAATAGATACAAACTCAAGGTAAACTGCATCAAACTTGATTGCAGGAAATATGTCTTCAGCAACAGAGTGGTCAATGTCTGGAATACTCTACCTGACTCTGTGGTTTCTTCCCCAAACCCCCAAAACTTTAACCTTAGACTGTCTACTATTGATCTCACCCCTTTCCTAGGAGGTCTGTAGGGGGCATGCATAAGCGCACCAACGTGCCTACCGTCCTTGACCTATTGTTTCTTTTCATTTTTCTTATATGTATCCCTTTCATGTATTCATAACTATGTTTATACTTATACCTGTTCTCTTATAATTGCTTGACAAAATAAATAAATAAATAAATAATAAATAAATAATAAATGTCTCAGAATCATCTAATCCAATGTTCTTCAAACTGGTATCTTCCACATCTACTGGACCATACCTAGAAATGTGTGGGTATTATAGCACAGCTTTTTTCAACCTTGGCAACTTTAGGTGTTATAGTTTTCAGTTCCCAGAATACATCTAAGCATTTCTTTCATTTTCACTTTTCCCTAGGTATCTGAGCCATACAAGCACAGAAACAATTCATTAGACAGCCTGAATACAAACACCCCATGTATTTGTGTTTCAAGGACCTTCCAATATGTTATCTTCTCAATGTTATCCTGGGCCCCATTATTAGGCTTTTGTAGCTCTTTTGGTGGGCTTCCAGGCTATGCAGCATGGAGTTCAAACAAGAAAAAAAAGAAGAAGGTAACTCCTAATTTTGTGCAAGGCTTAAACCAGTGAGTTAAGGTCAGGGGAAAAATCTATCTTCTGTATAAATGAAGGTTTCAGATGCTACCTTCCTGGTCATTTTTAGAAAATTGCAAGCCTCGGAGCAGAAAAGGTTCATATGTACTAAGGCAAATGATTGCCTGAATGCCTTATCTCAGTCATTCTTTAAAATGGAATAAAGACAGATAGATAGCCTGTATTAATTACATTTATATCTTGGCTTTCCTCCAAAGGCTTAAGGCAACATACCTAACTCCCTCCTTCCATTTTGTTTCAATAGCAGCGGCCTTACAACGCAAGCTAAGCTGGCGGAGAGTGGACTTGGATCTGGGTCTTTGCAATCCAAATCTAACACTCTAGCCACAATACTACATTGGATTAATTTTCATTACTCTTCCCTCCCCCCACACCCCCCCCAAAAAACCTAGATTTACAGCATGATGCAGGAAAGTACCCCAAAAGGCAGCTCCTTACCCAGAAGAAGAAGTTGAAGATGAACAGCAGGTATTTGAGACAGATGGTCATACATGTCTCCTTGCTTTCACTGTATTCACGCATGGTCACAAATCAACAGAACTGTAAAGGAAGAAGAAAGCAAAATATCATGAAGAAGCCTTTCTTTATTTTATTTTGTGCAAGCATGATCATTCTGCATCTCTCTATACAATGATAGCCCAGCTGGCATGGCTGCAAACCATAAGGGGACTATGGCAGGGAAAGCATGCAGAGCATGCTTTTGGGACCCTTTTACCAACAGTGACTATTTTCTTCTCTAACAAAATAATAAAGTGTGTTGTGTGTACGTTTCTGCTCTCCTCTTCTCTTGCTTCTATGTATGTTTGTGTTGTTGCCTGTCGGCTGCTGGCCCTTCCAATAGCCAAATCAGATGAAGAGGCAGTGTGGGAGTTAGGGCCAGCATCAAGGAAACCTGAGAGGTCCCAGCCGGGAAAGAGAATGGAGCTGCCAGAGATAGAGATAGAGGCAGAGGCAGAGCCTGAGCCATCTGTCAGCCCTCAGATGGAGAGTCAACAGCTCCCAGGTCTGGAGGTAGCTGTTGAGGAACAGGAGGAACAGCTTGGTCCAGTGCCTGATCTGAGGCTGTGCAGAAGGCAGAGGAGAGGAGAGCAATGGAAATCTATGGGCTGATCCTTGGGTCAGAAGAGCCACAGCTGCTAATGAAGCCCCACGCTAGTTCTGGAGATAAAAGGAAGGGGGCGGAGATGAATAGGTGTGGCAGACAAGTATTCATCTCCCTGCCTGACAGACTTGTTAGCCTGCTCTCTCGCTCTGTGTGTGTGTGTGTGAGAGAGAGACAGAGAGAGAGAGAGACAGAGAGAGAGACAGAGACTGACTTTTTGCCAGGGCTGCTGGCGTACCTAACAAAGGAATCATTGATTTAACTAGAGGGTTTGTCGTGTCTGGGAGCCGAGTCAGAACAGTTTGTGTTATGTGCATGCTGAAAATTGCAGACACTCAAACACTTTAACAAGAGACTCAGGATCATCCATATGGCAACCTTTTACTGATGGTCTCCTGTGGGTAGAGTTTTCTCTAAAGGAAGCCAAGTTAAAACTCCCTTTCCAAGTTTTTTGCCTCTCCAACTTTGGCCATGATGAGGGCTGAAAGTTCTGTCACAGGTTTTTAAATTATGACCAGCATTTCAAATTCTTACCAGAAGGCTAGACACACAGCGAGAGAAAGAGAGCAAACATAAGAATGTGCTCTCTTGGGTTTCAATAAAGGAGACTATTTGTAGCTCAGGGTTGAAATGAGGAGTTCTTGGGACCATCTGAGCTTGCTTGTTTTCTTGCAGACGTTTCATTACCCTAACTAGGTAACATCACCATCACTAGCACTGGGTACCTAGTCAGGGTAATGAAACGTCTTTAAGAAAACAAGCAAGCTCAGAGGCTCCCAAGAACCCCTCTCTTAGGTTTTTACATGAGTGTGTCAAGTTAAAGAGGCACACTGGATTGACTGCAAATGGAAGCTTGCAATACAAACACTTTTTTTTCCATTTTTTCTTACATTTAGAAAACTCTTCTGCCTCCCCAGGGCATTGGACATTTCTCTAGAGAAAAAAAAAATTGGGAATGTTTCCATTTCTACTCCAATCTGTTCCTTTTGCCCAACTGCACAAGCAGAGGGCAAATGATTCTTCTCTTAGGATAGGTGATGGCATAGTTGGCAGAGGATCTTATTCACAAACAAAAGGAAAAGCTGAAAGATGACTGTATGCGCCCAAGATAGTATCAGGGACAGAAGGCTCCAGTCTTGGCTTGCTGACAACCCAGTCATCGTGAAACATGTCCGTGCTCCCCTTATGCATCCCTTCACATTCCAGTACCCTACTTCTGTTAGGCTTCCCAGAGAATTATAGCTTGTAAATGGTGAGAGATTTACTGTTCCCAGGACATACAGGATAGAATTGTTGCCAAGCTACATATAATTAACAAATCCAAGAAGCAAGAATCCTATGGTTTTCAGGAAAGCGTCATTAAGGCTAATCTGAGATAAAAACAGCCAATCTTTCAAACTGCAAATTCTCAGCCAGATTTACAGCAAGTTAATTAAGGTGGAATGTCTTCAAAACATAAGCTCTCATATTTGGTTTGTAATTTTCTCTTCTCCCATAAACTTCCTTCCTCTTCACTTCCTTCCCACAGTAACTAACTGCGGGAACTATTACTAACTATTTAGTGGTATCAGTCACAAAGAGTATATAACTGCAAAATGACATGGGTGGCAAATACATTTAATAAATAAATGACTTTTAAAAAATGAACTGGTTTTATCTTTCATGGACAGCCATTTGTCAGAAACTGATGGTATAGGGTCTCCTTCTTAAGCAGGGGGTTGGATTTGATGACCTTCAAGGTCCCTTCCAATTCTGTTGTGCTGTTATTCCAAAACATGATAAAGCTGAAGAGACAACAGAACTGAACTACTAATGATTGGCTTCACTAGATCTTTTTATGTAATGCCTCCAAACATGTATTTCCAAAAAGGAAAACATTTTTATTTAGAATAAAGAAACGAAACTTGAAGAAAACATGAGAAGAGAATAATGAAATATTCAACATTTATGTATTTGGCAGCATGGAAAAATGACTAGAATTGAATAAGAATAGGTGGGATTCAATTTTTTTTACCAGAAGATCTGTGGGTGTGGCTTGGTGGGTGTGGCAGGGGAAGGATACTGTAAAAACTCCAGTCAGAGGTGGTATTTTCCGGTTCTCCGAACTACTCAAAATTTCCGCTACCGGTTCTCCAGAACTGGTCAGAACCGGCTGAATGCCACCTCTGGTTAGAGTAGCAGAATTTGTGAGACGTGTAGTTAATCGCAATGAAAACTCAAAATCACTTCCAGAGTAGAATACAGTAAGACCCTGGAGGACATCTTGTCTTTCAGCTTACTGACACCTCAATGCTATCTTGTTCAGCGAACATGGAAGCCAGATTGTTATTGGGTACGTCACCGAATCTCAACCCTGTTCTGATTTTGTTCAAGTAATTTTCCAATAGTCTTAGAACCCATTTCTGAAATGTTCTAAGAATCTAATTCTTTTTTTTTCTTTTTTTAGTCTACAATTTGTCAGAGTCATGGTTTTCTGGACAGTTTCAAGATCAGTCCTATAAGAGTCTGAAGGATATTCCCTAGGCAGAGCACTAAGTGCACTGATCATAATAATCTTTCAATGAATATTTTTGAATATTTGAAATAATTTTTTATTTCAAATAATTTTTTTTGAAATAATTTGGCAATATTTAAAGTATTGGCTGAAGTATTAAAATAAAGTTACAGGATACCTGAAATAAAAGCTACCTGGCTATTTTAAAATTTAACATCTTCTGAAATTTTCTTTATTGTGGAGGGGCAACTATCAATTAAATACACCTCTAAATGTCAAATATGCTGTAAAGAAGGATCTAACCATGGTTAAATTTCTATGAACATATAGTAGAATTTCGATACGCAATAGCAATATGTGTATTTAGCTGAAATGCTAAGGAATATGTGGACAGTTAAACAACTTCTTCGCTGACCTATTAGCATGCTATTTTAATAGTATGCCATAAAATACCAGTTTTAGGACGTCATATCTTCCTCCCAGAATCAGCCTTCTTCTCCAATCCATCCAAATTAAACAAAGAATGTTCTGTATAAAAGATATTCATCCTTTGGCAGGTTTTCTTAATGTTTGCCTACTTCTATCACTGACATTATCAGAGTTTTGTCAATACATAAAGGGAATCTGTAAGGTTCAAAAGCCAAGAATAGCACAAATGAGGTATTGTGAGCCGATATTATTTTCTCTTTGTCCATCATTAAGAAATATCACCTAAAAACATGGGAACTACAACTCCATCATTTCCAAACTGCCAGGAATTAAAGACAGTTCTTTCCAGAGGAAAATCTTTAAGCCCAGCCAACCCTAGATTTCAATCGATTTTTTCTTCCTGATCATCATAAGAAATGAGATTTCAGATACGCTACTGCAAACTGCTCCATTTCTATTACTGCTTCTTCATTTTTATCACAGGAAACAATTCAACACTTCAAGAGATAGTTATGTTCCTTCTAAATTTCCAGAAGCTTGTAAAATCAGTGGGATTTCACAGATAGTTTTAAAAGGCACTTACTGGTTTTAATGTTGTAGCCAGAAAGCAGCTGGAAATTCAGAAAACAGCATGATTAATGCCCCGTTAATGGCCAATGAATCATGGAACTATCACTGTTCTCTCCAGTTGTCCTGGCCAGAAAGCAGCATTTCAGAGTACAGCAATGAAACTGGCAAGCCATTGGGGATACTCCTAGAACCAATCTTGTGCTCTTTTGGTAATACTATCCTTGCAGGTTCATGCTTTTCTCTGCAATCAGCTGGAACAAGCTAGGCTTTTTCATGGTGCAAAGGAGATGCAAGATCCATTAATCTCTAGACAGAAAATGTGGTATTTGTAGGCACTTTCCTTAGTCCCTGTTGGGTTCCTTGCTCTCCTGAAGTTATAGCAAAGTGCCAACCTCTTGCAAAATATTTATGCCACAAGCACTTTAAAAAAAAAAAAAGTGGTGGGCAGGTGGCTATAGTTCAGGGCTTTGTTTGGAAGTGTGTCAATTTGCATGAGTAGAAGTGGGAAAGCTGGGATGGTAGAAAACATTGTGAAGGGACTAAATTAACCGGTATGGAGAACATCAACAGCTGTTTCCTAATAAATTAGCATCCTGTGACTGAACACTCCCCCTGGGATGCCAATTTAGCACACAGGAAAGTTTCATGGGAGACGTTTTGTGAGAACAACGTGCTCTTAACATTCCAAAAATTGAACATTTGAAAAGATTCTCTACCTCTAAGCTAGCACTACAGTTCTGCATGCACCTCAGTTATCTTTCTGATCTCAGAATTTCTATGCACTTGTGCCAAGGAAATCTGGATTTTGCAATTCTGCATAAATGAATTAGACAATTTAAACAGGAGGTTGGTTTGTTTCTTTTAGGGCCTCTTGTTCCACTTCTGCTAAAAGCCATGCTTAGCGATCCCTGGAAATTATGTTCGTACCTGACTATTTGAGTTTCT